GTGTGTGTGTGTATATATAGAGGATATAATAGTTTTATTCATTTGGGAACAAGGCACCTCAGACGGAGGAACCTTCGCGCAGAAGAGCGTTTTAACTGAAGAACTTCACCGTGAGACGAGGTAAGTCTGTATTAAAGCTATTGAATTCTTTATGTATGTCTAATTGAACTTTTCAATTTTGTGATTGAAGCTATAGTACAGAACATTTACACAAGTCTATAAATGGAAAAACAGTTCAGTTATAAAATCTGAAAAAGTTCCTGTATTCATAGAACATCACAAATCACATTATAAATCATTTAATGACATTTTACATGTAACGTTAACGTTATGTTAAAAGCATCAACAGGCAACAGTTATAAACTTTTTTTGCGAACACAAAATTTGCGTTCTCTTTTATCTTTAAAGTGTATCATCTTATTCATGGCTATATATTCATTAGTCATGCACTTGATGGCTAACATTTATATTATATTTCATTTAAAAACAGTTTATTTTTCTTTATTATTTAACATACTCGTGAGAGTGGATTTTAGGATTTATTTTTAATAGTATTATTAAGAGATTGCTTAATTTATAACATTTATTATATAAAAGAATCGCTGAATTGCATTTTGGAATGAACTGTTCAAAAGAACCGAACATCGCAAAGGATTCGAACTTTTCATCACTACTTTTTGTTATTTTTTTTAAATATATATTACAATTTTTTTCACTACTTGAAGCTCCATGGCAGAGCTGGGTAGATTACTTAGATTACAACAAGATTAGATTACTTGGATTACAAATTGTACTTCGTTACTGATTCCAAATTGCATGACAAAAATTGTAGTTAGTATTGTAATCCATTACATTGCACATTTTAGGTAATATAATCAGACTACTTTTTGATTACTTTATACCCAACTCGTTAATCACAGTGATTTAAATAGAATAACCGTGTACCATATTGATATAAAAATAGAACGAGATAGAAAAATAATTCATTTAGTTGTAATCAACAACATGAAATGCATTAAACATTACATTATAAAGGTTTCCCAAACGGGTTCGTAAAGGAAATGCAGGGGGTTCATCAATCATTAAAATGTACAATTAAAATAAATAATTTAAAAAGAACATCAAAATAAAATGCTGACTACAAAAATGAAATATGTTATATGGTTATCTATCTGCATATGTGAATATTAACCTACGTCAGAGAACCGTGAACATGCAAATGTGATACTTAATTATTAA